AGCTATGCAATCTGGTGGGATATCCAGCTTGGCCAGCTGGACGTACCCGCAATTTTCCTTTTCCGAATGGCAAGAGGCTAAGCCGAGAACCTCACGACACGGTGTTGCTTAGGGATTTGGTTCGACTCGTTCGCCGTCTTCGACCGTGAGCTTTTGGCCTCACTTCTTCTTACAGACCTCCAGGTTCTTTAGGATTTTCCTGGACCTTTCAGGATTTGGGTTTCTTAGGCTGGCGTGTGGCACCGCATTCAGTTCAGTACACAATATCCTAAGTGTGTTCTTCCGAAGAAACGATGATCACGATCCTGAGAACGGCAAGGGCATGGCAAATGCGATTTACTTGGAACAATCAAGACTCTGCAGTGAAATGGTCTGCAAGCGCTCGCCCCACCCAAGTCATCCCAAGTCCCCAAATCATCAGCACTCTGCTCTCCCCCACCTCTTCAGCTGCTTGGTAATGGAGCCACCTCAATTTCAGTCTGAAAGGCCCCGCCGTAGAACCAGGTTCCCCCTTCACCGTCGATCGGTTTCGGCGGGCTTAAGCCGTGATCAAATCCGAAACAGCTGGATCAACTCCTTGACAAGTTGATCCTTCGTTGAACGTCACCGGAATTGAAAAAAGAGAGAGAGAGAGAGAGCTGGGTCGATGCTACAACTCATGCTGCAGGTCGATGCTCACGTTGCTTTTTTTTGTCTGTGGTGTCAGGAATGACACTAATAAAGACAAACCAAATCCTGAATCATTGAAACAGAGAAGAATCTCGAAACGGTATGGACAAATAACTATACCAATGATACAACTGCAAGTAAACATGAGCGGATTTGTTCCCAGCCCAACACGTGTCTCACCTATTACACTGCCCATCTCATGTTCGAACACTTAGAAAGGCTGGGAAAAAAATAACTGTTCGTGGCAAAACCCAAAGCCGCTTTAGAAGGGGTCCCCTCATTTCAAACCAAAGTACCCATGCGGATCCTCTTCATTCCGCCTCTGGTGATTCTCGGGGCCAACGTCTTAAAGTACCTCCATGTTATGCAATATATGGTGGTCCCCAAATGGATTAAACAGATAGAACACATTTGGACTGGGGATCTACTTTCTCCGTCTTGGGCACCCGAAAGAAAAAAACGGCTCACCCAACGGCTCACGACGCCGAGCAGCGGAAGAGGGTCATCCATCCTTCTCCCCGTCGCAAGTGGCACTGCTGCAAAGGCCCAATACGGTCCTCCACAGTACCTCACATGGCGAGAAAAAGGGTCATGGCACCCTGGCTTTTCCTACAGAAAAGGGAACAGAAGTGACTAGCAGACATCAACCCCATTTCTTCGGGCAGTGTGATTTCTTCGAAGGCCGGAAGATCGGTACGCACATGGAACTGCAGCCTCCCTGACTGGGAGCGGTGACATCGCAACATCCAGTCCGCTCCAGATCTCCAGCGGCTACAGATCAGTGACGGGACCGTCAGACCTGTCCGCTCCGCCCTCAGATGACCTGTCCGCCATCAGCAGATGTCATCACGGTGAGCTCAGCTTCGACTCCAAGGTGGGTCAGTGAGATGCTTCATTGCGAGTGAGCTCGACCATCCCCCCGGGTCAGATGCTTCATGCTGCGACCACCACTTCTTGTCGGCGTGGACATGTAGTGCTGGACATGTAGTGCTAGTGCTGCTAGTGGCACTGTTTCGGTGAGATCTCGATCGAAAGCTAACAGGTGGATGCCCCAAACCGTCATCATCAGAGTAGCGCTGCCGCGCACCGAAAATGGAACCCCAACAGTTGCACTTGCAACAAAGGCAAAATGAACCAACAATGATGTGTCCTGGAGGGTGGTTCGCTACCAAAAGTGACCAAAAGGCTCCTGTTTGAGAGCAGGGCGACTCCTGTTTCGCCCCATTCCTGTCAGCCAAGGAGCGTCGAAAGTTGCTGTCCTTGGGATACAATATCAAAGCTTCTCCGGGAACAGACTTGTCCTCAGCCCCACCAGGAAGGACTTTTCCAAGCATGGGTTTGCTCTAGCTTGGAATGCTCACAACCAGTCCATCTGGGTAAAACATTGATTTGTCTCACAACTAGAAGTCCCCCAACCCATGGGTTTTTGGTTCAGGGTACCTCCATTCATCCCAGCGTCCGTTCTGACCTCAAGCACCCCACCATCATAGCGGTCAACCGCCGCCTCGAGGACGCCCGACAGAGGCAGGGCGCGGAAACGGAATTCGGAATTCGACCCACAAATCAATACAACAAAGCCATTCGTCGCTTAATTTTCTTCTTTTACGTACTGTGCCACGTGGCGCCCAAACGACAAAAAAGAACCTCCCGATGTCCTCATCATCGAAACACATTCCGGTTTGGGAACACTTGGACTGGAATCGATGGAGTTCTGAGAAGCACTTCACTGGTCAGAACCCAAACCCTGCTAAAACGTAACTTGACCTCAACCTTGGCACGGAAAACCTCGCCTTTGCTCGAGGGGGGGTGGTCGGTGAGCATCAACTAAACAGAGATAGGTGGAAGAAATATGTAACACGAACTACGTGACATTGAAAGGCACCATGGAAATGTGTATGCTGATACTGCTGGCAACACATTACGACTTGAAGGAACTCCATTTGGGTGCCTGGTTCTCCTAAAAAAAGCACCAAACTTGGGTTTTTCGCGAAGTCCTCCTGAGCGCTTTTGCAACTGTCGGCGGACTCTGAAGCGATGAATGAGGTGCCTGTGCGTGGTCCGCATTCATGAAAGTGATGGAGCATGCGTCCTCGATCAAGGTGCATTGGGCTATGGGGCCCACATAGCGTTCGAAGACCATCTGCACCTCCTGGACGTTGAAGCCGAAACGAAGCCACGGGAAGGATCGAAACCCGGCGACGTCGTGTTCTGTCACATCGCTTCACGACGGAGGGGATGCTCCATGTCACACGTAGGACCGGAAAAAAAGAACGCTCCCAAACGATATGATGGTCAGATGGTCCTCCTGAAAAAAAACAAAGACTTGAACACAGCCAGGGTTTTTCATAGTTCCCAAACCAACGAGGAGTGGAATGGGGGAATGGGTGGGGTCCGAGGGGTCCTGAAACTTCAAGATGCATCCAGGTCATGGTGTCCAACATGCTTTTCCACCAAAAAGATGCTGCAAATAGAGATGGACTCTATTTCCAGGAGCTGCAAGCTACTGAACCGTTTACTCATTTATCCTAGAAGTGATTCTAAGAGAAGAGCAGTACCTTAGAGAAAAAGAAACACTTTTGACTTCGTGCCCTCAAACATAGGCACCTGCCAGCCAGCCACCTTGGAAACCCTGGGTGCACGGTTTGAAGCAAGAACTGTTGGGTGAAGAAACAAAAACGAAGCCAGCTGGAAAAACTATTGTCCTCTAGGGCTCAACTCTGGGAACTCGTTTTATGTCCACTGCCGGTTCAGAGCGAGACATCTGGCAGACGCTGTGAGACGATGTGTTTCGAAAACGGAAACCGAAAAGCAGACCGAACAGACCGAACAGACCGAGAGACGTCACCGAGTGCCACACGGAGCTACTTGGTCCGAGTTGGACGTGTTGCTCCACTGGAAAAACCAAAAAGGGACACCTGTTGACCAATGACTTGATGTTGCACAATTCGTTCAACCCTTGAGAATCCATCAGAGTCTGGAACCTGGCGCGTTTTCGCTGGCGTCGCATCTGTTTTCGGTGGTCTGGCCTGAGCCTTCAAGCGTCGCACCAGGTTCGTGACCTGGAGCCGGTGGTCTAAAGTGCTAGCGATGGCCTCCAACGCCTCCAACCTCCTAGCGCTGGCCTCCAACCTAGAGAAACCGCCTATGTTGAAAGACTTCTAGTTGCAGCTGGAGCTCAGTAGAATCTTCATCTCCTATCTAGCGCCCAATCGCGCCACCGACCTCTGAACGACCTCTGGAGAGCTCTGGGGTCACCCACCGGTGGCGGACGGGGGGCGACCAAACCATAGGGATCTGTTGGGAAAGTGCTGGCTGCAAGCGGCCTTTGAGGTGTTTTTTGGGGGGGAACTCCCAGTGCTGGTCTAGCTGTTGAGCAATCCTGAAGTTCGCCTGACTCCACACGAAGCAGGGGGTACCCTAAACGATCCCTACGAGCAAAACGCTGGAAGAACCACTGCGTCTAGATGGGAAGATGTTAGGCCTAGATCGAAGAGGAGCCCCGAGCTGCTTCTATGCTGAGGTTTGAACAGGTGCAACAACGATTATGTGAATCTGCCTGGAGGACCCACAGGTAGAGGGTCCTCAGGAACTCCGGTCCATGGCCCGCATCGTCCATCCCATCCCCCAAAAAACGGCCTTGATCCTGCTCCTGCACTTTTCTGAGAGCAACCCACTCACTTCACTTCGCTTCACTTCACTTCACTTCACCTCACCTCACCTCACCTCACCTCACACACCTCTCTCTCTTTCTCTCTCTCTCTCTCTCTCTCTTTCTCTCTTCCCTTCACATCTGGAGAAGACGCTCCACACATCGTCCTGGTGGCCATGTTCAATGTCTCCCACTGCGAGGTCAGGCCCGGAGGCGGTGCCTCAGACACGTGACACGGAAAACACGTGTATACCTGACCGGTGTCCGTCTCGGAAACAACTCATCTGCAGGGAATTCATGGCACCTTTTGGGGTTCATTTGAGGAAGAACGAGGCTTTGGCCATGTGTCAGGATCCACACACCGAATAGCACAGGAAACTCTTGAAAAGCACATCTACGTCCAACAAATGAATCATGATGTGGTCTCAATTTGGCATCATCTGCTGCTGGGATCCAAAAATCCCGCTTGGTCTGGGCTGAACAATGCCCAGATCTGGTCTTTTCGGTGCTTCGCCTGCATTTCAGCCCCTCGTGCCATCCACTGCAGTGTCTCGTGGATTTGGGACTCTCCACCCACCCCCTTCGTTCGACGAGCAGCAAGGTTGGAATACCCCTGAGAAGCGGCCGCGGGCTCCCTGGGCTCCCTCTTTGCGGTCTGGCCGCGGGCGACGCGGGCGACGCGACGTCCCCCCGGCGTTCCGACCGCCTGGGAGGTTCGGCGTTCCCACCCCGAAGGGTCATAGACCAGAAAACACCCAGCCATTCGCTGAGTTGGGCAGCTCCCAACGAAAAGTACACACAACATACAGCAACATTCGCAGCAACATTCGCAGCAACTTCCCTGTTAGATCTTGCGTCTCATTGAAGGAAACTACCCCAAGGCTGTGTCCCATAGTCTTCAACAGCTATTTCTTCACCAACACGGCTGAAACACAAGAGCTCCAGGTCCGAAGGCGATCTTCCAAAGTCATGAAGCTGAAAATCCTCGACATCAAAAATCACATTGGTCACCACTGGTGCCGCACCATGGCCAAAAAGCCCCTATAAGGTTGGAAGTCATCGCCAGTAGGTTGGAGGCCATCGCTAGTAGGTTGGAGGCCATCGCTCTTAGGTTGGAGGCCATCGCTAGCAGTTTGTGGAG